CAGGCATTCTCCCATACTCCCTCCACTTCCAAAAATATGGGCTTGTTTTTTATCCTCTTGGATCCTCTGTTAAATTTTCAGTTAACACTTTAGACCTTTTTTATGAAGAATGTATCCTTCCGGATATATTATTGAAGTTTAAAATATTTATTTTGAAATACTCCTGTGGTTTAAAGTTAATATTGGGCCTATGCTTGACCGGCATGTCTTTAAATTTAAAAATAAAATCCAAGAAGTATTCTGGCTGCTACATGGTACAGTACGTACAACCATTTATGTTCTTTTTGTAAGTTGTTAGGGGACTTTCATTTCTTTATTTGGATAAAAATAAGGAATATGTATATATATATATATCGATATATCGATTTTACACCTGTTGTTACATGAATGAAAATGTGTTTTTGGGGCTATCCCCTAATCCATGATGACATCCCTGATCAAACTTATATCATGTCAGTCTATTTCAGTTTTATTTTGAATACAGACATTTATTTATTTTAATTTTACATTCAATTTAATTACTTTTAATTTTTCTCAGAATTTTTCTTTAATTTTTCTTTTTAGTCTTAGAAAGTACCTAGCACCTCATTTCTAAATAAGCCACATGGTTTGTACTCCCAATCGTGGTTTAGGATGAGTTACATAGAGAGTTTTAGTACTTAAGGTTATGGCTTTGTTAAAAACATTAAGCCTAAGTAAGCAACAGTAACACTGATGCTTGACTTAGCACACAGATAACATGTTTGCCAAATGTCATTCTAGCTTTTCTGAAATACTCCCCTAGTATAATAAGGATACCATAATTTCTATTCCAGCATCTGGAATTATCCTTAGGCTACAAGCTGTCATCTGTACATACCAAAACACATGTGCACACACAGACTCAGATATGGACATCCTGAAAAAAAACAAAGAAAAAAAAACAATCACATTTTATTTTAAATACAGGTTTATACAATTAATTATATTCTTTTTTCAGATCGCACAAAAACACGAGTTTCTAGTCGATTCTTTCAGCAGATATGTTTCCATCCAGGAACAGCTTGATGATATGAGCAGCCTTTTCTCTTTCTCACCAAACTTTTATCTTCATTTCCTCCCTCTCTTCCTGTTGCCAGAAGGGGATTAGTGTTGGAATCTCAAGAGTGAAAAGGGAGGCTCTAAACTCTAATCAAGCATACATCTGTGGCCACCGCAGGCATTGATTGAAATTTCATTTATATTTTGGATTTTTTCCTGACAACCAAAGGTCTGGTGCACACAAGTCCACACATAAAACTAATAAGCTATTGTTCAGTTATTTGCTTATTTCTCATATTCAAAAAAAATAAATTTAAAAACAGACTGATCCAAGGGATTCGTTATTGTCCGGTTTGGTTCAGCAATAGTAGTCAATATTTCAGCTGTTATAATAACATAACAGCTGAAAACAGAGCTATAAAACTGTATCAAGGATGTGTCTGAAACCTAAAAATTCAGACAGTATATATAGAAAGCATCAATACATCTGAATTAAATGTTTTTTTTTTTTGTGTTGTTTTTTTTTTTTTACTATACAGTAAATGTATCCTTAGCTGCCTAATGTCACATTCTCGTTAGTTTGGACTCGTTATGTTTTGTCATCACCTGCCTACATGACTCATTTTTTTGTCACGGACACTAATCGAGTTCAGCTGTGCACTTATCAGTCCCCGACAAACACTTATTATGTTCAGTTCTGTTTCCAGTGTCCGCTATTGTTTATGTTCAGTGTGTTTTGCTATCCGTTTGCCTCCCTGTTATTTAGAGAATACACCTTTAGAATTGAATCGTATACTTCTTCCTCATGTCTGCCAGCAACCACCCATTATTACCTATGATATACCACAATTCTGTGCATTTTGTTTGGTTGATAGTGGAAAAATAAAAAAAAATGGCATTTGATGGAATAGAAGTAAATTCATTCATAAATGTCTGTTTCTATATCTGTTTTCTACCTACATTTCTGCAAAACTACTTACACATGTACTTACACAAATATACTGTACAATTCACTGCAGTTTCCAGCGGAAATGAACACTAGATACAGTAAAACAACAACTTTTTATTTTTTCACACAAATTTTGATTACAAGGGCACATATGTATATTTATTTCATGTGGTTCCTTGCACAATTATATGCTATGACCTCTAGTAGGGTTAGTGAAGGTGGTACATTATTTTCAAACGTGATTTATTAACCAGTGTTGTCAACTCGATTAACCAATAGCATATAACATAGTTATAAGTTTGTAACAAGTGTGTATATAAATATATATATATATATATATATATATATATATATATATATATATATATATATATATATATATGGCTGTATACTGTATAAAAATGCTGGGTTGTTTCAACCCATATTTGTGTCAGATGTGGACAAACCCAGCCTTTGGGTTGAATATAATTACATTTTTAACCCAATGGTTGGGTTTGTCCATATTTGACCCAAATTTGGGTTGAAAAAATCCAGACCTAAAACTGGATCAGGACAGGTGTATAAAAAGACATGCAAATAATTTGAACTTAAGTAGGGAGTAACATGGAGGACATCTTCATGTAAACATCAGAAAGCTCTTTAGTCTGAGCATCTGAGGTGTGTGGCTCTTTGAGGCCTTTCATTATCTGCAAGATCATCTGAACATTTCAAAGCACCACAGGGCAAGGCATCCTATCAGATTCAGCTCATAGAGATGAAGGTAGAGATGTTTAGCCACAATGTCAAGCTTTATGTTTAGTGTAAAACAACCACTGACCAGAAGAACCCCACACCAGCTGTGTATGGTGATGAAAGCATTCTGGGTGTGTTTTATTGCCTTGCGGCTCAGCTGGCCATATCAGAGCACTTGAGGAAATTGTAAGAGCATTCATCCACAAGCTGAACCATATTAAGAATGTGTCTACCCAAGACACACAAGCAATAAGTAGGTAAAACAAGAAGCAATGAAGAATCAAAGGAAATCCTATATATTAAAGTGGCGCTATTATGCTATTTTAAAGGTTTCTAATTTTGTTTTGACTGTCTTCCAAAATATTTTTATTTATGATTTATATGCACTCAAGGTAAAACAAAAAAAACGTACGATTTTTCATAACATACATCAGCATCAGGCTCAGCATTTCTCAGTGTCTGAAACAGTTTGATAAAGGATTCAAGCTCTCTAAACCCCTCCTTTCCGAGAGCCTCTGCTCTGATTGGTAAGATGGCCCAGACTGTCGTGTTTGGTCTACCACTTACAGTGTGGGTCAGAAACGAAACGCCCATTACCATATCAGAATTTCAGCTCCGGAGTCTTCCTCGGCACTTTTAAACACAGTGATACAAACAGTAACAACGCTGTTGTTTTATCCTTACCAATATGAGTCCTCATTCTTTGGAAGGCCATGTTGACATTTTAGGGCAGGTCAATGTAGACGTTGGTTGTGGGCAGCCATGCAGTGAAGACCATGGGCTGGCATGTTTTAAACCCGCGTAGATTTGTGCAGGAAGTAATTATTGGACTTATCGATGCCTTGTTTCAGGCAATTCAGAATTTTTTTATTTATTTTTTTTTGGGAGACAATAACTCTGCAATAGTTTATTTTAACTTTGCAGACATTTTATATTCACAATCAGCTATATTACATGAAAGGTAATATCTGGAAAAGCATGTTGACACTTTAAACTAGTGACATTTTAACCTAACAGAAATGTTGGCACTTGAAGTGGGTAGTATATTTCAGAAAGCCCCTGAATATCACACATTTGTAGGAAGAATGGACTGAAACATTTGCATGATGATGCCGGAGAGTTACTAAATACAATTAAAAAAAAGTTTCCTCCTAAAGGGAAATCACATGTAAATCTTCTTAATATCTCAGTTTCTTTTTCACAGCAATTAATTAAAAGGAGTACATTGCTTAGGTGTCAGATGTCTCTCCTTAGAAAAAGAACTTGGTAATCTCACGTGCCTTTTCTATTTCTTAACAATGAGCAGGTCTCAAACTGAGAATTCAATCAATTCTCCTGAGCTGTAGAGAGCAAACTATGAGCATTTGCTTTTGTGAAGGAGGAAAAAACAGCTTGAAGATTTAGGCCTGCCTACTTCATTTCTGTTAATTAATGATTGATCAAATATTTAATGATTATTTGATTTTTAATTGTTGTATTTATTTGGAAAATAATAATTAGCTTAATAATAATATATTCAAGGACATGTTTTAATGGGGCATACTTGCAATTTCAGAAAATCTATAGGCCTTACCATAATTCTGTCTTAAGTATTATCAGCATGATTATCAACATGTATAACTTGAATTCCCTCTTAGAAAAAAAAGGTTCATTGGGGTTCTATATGTGAAGCATAGGGTTTTACTCAACTCCAAAGAACCTTTTATGCTAGAAAGGTCCTATAATGATGAGAAAGAAACCTTTTGGCACAAAGGTTCTTTATAGGGTATTATTCACTCATATAAATTACATTATTCTGCAACATTTAGTAGTTGTAATTTAATTATTGTATATTAAACTGTTGTAGTAACTTAATATCACATTTAAATCATGCTGATTTTTGGAGGAGAACTGAAATGGCACACTTCTTGTGATATTGATTAACTACATAAAACGATATAAATATGTACATTTTCTAACCCCCATATCTTGAATTTTGTGATCATTCACATGCATTCATAAATACATTTTAGGGTCTTGATGTTTGTCAATAATATGAAATATTTCATCCTGAAAAGACAAAACAAATGATAATGAATGAACCCAAAAGGTTCCATATAGAACCTTATTCCTGGTTACAAACAACCCTAAAGGGTTCTTATTATTGAACCCTTAAAAAGGGTTCTGTAAAGAACCTTTTAGGGGTTCCAAATACGTAGCGGTGTTCTGTATAGAACCTTTTCATCTAAGAGTGAATGATTGATTATGGCCGAGGACAATAGTGTCAAAGCCTCATGCTGTATTTTATTTCATATTGCAGATGAAACTCCCAGTGCTGTTGTTGGGCAGATCAGCTGATCTGAGACCAGGCGAGTTTGTGGTCGCTATCGGCAGTCCGTTCTCCCTTCAGAACACAGTGACCACAGGCATAGTCAGCACAACCCAGAGAGGCGGCAAAGAGCTGGGTCTGCGTAACTCTGATATGGACTACATTCAGACAGATGCCATCATCAATGTGAGTTCAAACACTACAATTGATCATATATTACATAAACTGTTTTTGCTTGCTAAGTGGATCAATGACATGATGCTCAGTTTTGTCTGTATCTGTTAATAAGAAAAACATTTTTTTTTTTATTAGCCAATGTCTTCAGCACTAAGCCAAGTGCTGCTGCGTGCTGATAGCTGCGTGTCTTTGTATCTATTGGCAGTAGCAAGTCTATACTTGCTCTACAGCATGTGTAGCATAATCTAGTTGATCTAGTCCACCAAAATCAAATACATTAACATTGCCATAACTATTAGCATGCCAAAACTTGATATGATTGAAATATCTACTAGTTCAGCAATGAGGGTGCAGATAATTCCTTTAAATGAAATCTGCAAGCAATCATTCCTTTGTGACATGGCACAACATGATTGGCCTCTGCTTATTCTGCAGTCAATAAGATCGCTTGCTCAACATTTAAATGGTCTGGTTCAATGTACACTATTGGCTAGTCTTGCAGCAGGCTATCAAAGTTCCTCTGAAACCCTCCACCTCCCTAGCTCCACCTGTCTAGATCTGCTATGCGATTTAGTATGTTGTGATGGAACGGCTGTTCACATTTAATCCACATCCGCGTTCATGACAGGAGTGGGTGTGAAAGAGAGGAGGGGCGCGGAAACAACCTGGCTGATAAATGCAGACTGCATCTCTTCCTCCGTGTATGCACACTGGTGTCCTCATGTGTCCGGTAGGGGACTAAGTCACCGGACCCATAATCTTGCGTAGCCAGACCTTCAGACTGACGGCAGAAGGTCTGGACTCCATAGCAGGGTTCATTGGCCAAGGACCTCCCAAAGGCTGCCTGACTGACATGTAAAGCAAACAATCACATTTTGTTTTGTGCCATGTCTATGCCACAAACTTTACATACTTTTGAAAATCCAGCGTTTAGTCGGTCCTGATGAGCACTTGTGAACACAATGGCGTTCTTTTTCATTGAGGGGGTTTGGCGTCACAGAATCTGTTTATACCGTTAAAGAAAGCGACACACACATCTCCCGGAAATCCTGTAAAATTCAACCAATCAGATGATGACTTCATCTGATTGGTTGATGAAAATCCTGAGGATGAAAGGATGAAATCCTGAAGTGTTTCCAGTTAAGTGTACCATATGCATCAAAGGTTCAGCCAACGGTCCGTAGGCGCGACGTCTGAGGCTGAGACTACCAGACTCGTGGCCCATATGGAAAACACTTGGGCATCCCCTTGTCAACATGTCGAAACAAAGCCAAAGAGGACTATTTTGAGCCGAAGGCACGGAACCGTGCGTATCACACCGAGGAAACTAAAGCGCTAAAACCAGCTGTCAGATGTTTTCGCGCCACTCCCGGTTGCTGAGCAACGCGCGTGAGTTTGACAGCTGCCTGTCTGAGTCACTCAGTCGTTTTTTAGGATTGTATAATCTTGTAAAAGAAATGGACAAATACAAACAGTGTGTGGACAATGCACAGTAAAAGTGTACAGCGTGTGCGCAGCTTTCATAATACGATACATACATTTAATTAACTTTTTTTTTTCAATTCTGCAATTTGCGCCCCGTCCAGCAGATGGCGCCCCAGGCGGCCGCCTGTGTCGCCTGTCGGCAAAGCCGGCCCTGCATCCAACGCACATGGCACCCTTTAGCGTCAAATGAGACGCTTCGGTTATGGGTAGGTTTAGGTATGGGGTAGGGTTAGGGTTAGACCAGTAGGAGGCGCCTTCTGCCCCATATATATCTGCGTCTCATTTGACGCTAAAGGGTGCCATGTGCGTTGGATGTCTACACTTTGGCAAAAGTGTCGTATATGACGCCTTGGGATGAGAACGGGCTTGGATGCCGGTCCTCCATTCTCTCCATGTGCCGTGTCCTCAGGGAAGATGAGCTGTTGAGGAGAAGCACACATGCAGAACCCTTACGTGAATCCATCCTGACTGAACACTGCCCCTCCTTCTTGATTCCTCGGCATGATAAAGACACCAGATCCTTTATTAATTTGGACACTTTCCCCTTTTGAACACTTTATTCCATTTTTAGACTGTTTTTAATGTTTTATTTATAGTAATACACAGTGTGTCTGTTTGTCTATTGGCAGTAGCAAATACATTTGTTGTTATTATTTAAATATATATATACACATGACCCATTAGTGGCAAAGAGCTTTTCACTAGAGAAATAGAAAAAAGATTCACACACATTTCATAATCCCAAACTCTTTCTGTGTTTCAGTATGGCAATTCAGGAGGGCCCCTGGTGAACCTGGTGAGATTTTGACTTTGTTATTATGTCCTCCCCATATGCGAATAATTAAAACAGCTTGAGTCTTGCGTGATAGCGAATTAACTGGAGTGACAGAATGCAGCCAGGACTGAGTGTACACAGGTGATAATGTTTATGGATAAGTCTTTATGAGCCTGGAAACATATGTTGTTGGCTGAAAGACTGTGTATTGAGTCATCCGTGAACATAAACACAGGCGTGCATTCATAATGATCATAACAATGATGTCGGAAGCATCACATTGTGCAAGCAGATGTGCGGTGTGTTTGTGCGAATTCACATTTGCATTTGTGTGTGTCTGTTGCTGTAGGATGGTGAAGTGATAGGAATCAACACGCTGAAGGTGACAGCAGGAATATCCTTTGCCATTCCTTCTGACAAGATCCGGCAGTTCCTGGCTGAGTCTCATGACAGACAGACTAAAGGTCAGGAGCAAAATGATGGACTAAAATTTGCTAAATCAAAACATCTGCTCTATTTAAACACACTAAAATGTGATTGATATTTAAAGGATCAATCAATGATCAATCTCTTTATTTTTTCAGGAAAAACGGCCACAAAAAAGAAATATATTGGTGTGAGAATGATGACATTAACCCCAACGTGAGTCACAAATGCAGTGCATGCTTTCTGAATACTCTTTGTGATTAAGATTCTAGAGGAACATTAAAATAAAATGAATCAGCACAATTCAAATTAATTGTTTTAAATTGCATAATTCAATACACATGGCAAAAGCTGGATACCAGCAAACATGACACTTACATCTACTACCTATGAATCTGCCACTCTTAGACTTGCTAGGGAGCTAAAGGAGAGACAGAATGATTTCCCAGATGTCACCTCTGGAGCATACGTCATTGAAGTTATCCCGAAAACACCAGCTGAAGTGTAAGTTCATCGCACCACATGAAAGAATGAAAGTCAGGTGGTTTTGATACATTTTACAATGAGTAAAAGTTAATGTGCATATTCAAACCCTTATTTGAATAAAAAGGTAATTGAGACATTTTATCTCACAATTCGGACTTTTTTCTCAGAATTGCAAGTTTATATTTCAATTCTAAAGAAAAAAATGTCAGAATTGTAAGATATAAACTCGCATTGTGATGACAAATTCAGATGTAGTGCTAACTTTTTTCTCAGAACTTTGAGTTTATATTCCGCAATTTTGACATTTTATCTCTGATTTTTTTATTCTGTGGAGGAAACAAGCTTCCATACTAACTAGATCACATTAAGAAGTTCAATGATTTTGGCCATAGTTTCATATTTGATGCTGTCTTTACCATACAAATGCCCTATTTAAATACATATTTTACTGATTTAAATGAACAGTTTTTGGCTTTCTAAAGCATGTGCAAAATTTGTAACCAGTATTATAATCATGCTGAGGCAGCAGGGTTTTTTTTTTCTTTCTTTGCCTTAGGCAAAGGTTTTGTAACTAAAATTAACTTTTGGGATTTCATTGTGTGTGGGTGAACATTCACTCACAAGTAGCCATATGATTCCACTCAATTTTAGCATAAATGAGATGGTGTAAACAGTACATAAGTGGACACTTCCTGTCATTGTGGGTTGAATGAGTTGAATGCTATAGATTGAGTTGAATGCTATAGAATTGGGTATTTTCCCATAAATGCACATAGTTACAATTTGTGGCAAGATAATTTACAGAGAATTAGAGAATTATATTAAATATAACAGTTTATCAAATATGACCGGAGCCATTTCAAACTATGTAAATGGCCCATTCTCAGAAAATGGTGCATTTGGGGATAAAAAAAAAACAAAACGAATAAAACCAAAAAAATACAACTAAATTTAAGGTGGCTGCAGTACTTTCAAGAAATCAAATGTTCATAATGAGTACCAGGGCGATTACCACTACAGACATTTGCATGCTGTAAAAAAAAATCAGATTAATACTCAATGTACGTATAATACTGTAGATACAGTTGTTGAGTAAATCCAGGTAGAGTTATTGGTAATTAAATAAATGTATACGTCATGACATTTTCTGACATCAAACCTGTTAACTTTAAAACATTTCAGTGTTGGATGTTATATGAATATAACATAATGAAAAACTGATATGAGAAATTTTGTTTAATATCTTTCCATTAAATATGATGTCAGAAGATCCAACAATCCATTTTTAGATGAGAAATGTCAAAACAGACAGTGGGGATGAAAGATTTTGAAAGCGTGACATATAAAAATAAAATTGAAAAAATAAGCATGATGTATTTTAGAAAAAGAATCTACACAGTGAAAGCATGATATTTACGTAAACCCCTATAAATAGTAAGCACTATCTCCTGAGAGTGAGCCACATATATTCTGAAGCAGAGTAACTATGCAAAACAATGTAAAATAAACTAAACATTTTAAACATATTTTAAACTATGTAATATATATATATATATATAAAAAAACCTAATACTTTTTGGTAATGGGAATCCAATAATGAGAAGCCAAAAAAGCACAGTTAGAGCAATTAAGAAAGTTTTAACTGCTTCCTGTTTTGTTTTTAGTGGCGGTCTGAAGGAGAGTGATGTCATAATCAGCATTAACGGGCAGAGGATCACGTCAGCTAGTGACGTCAGCACATCCATCAAGAGAGACGAGAGTCTGAGAGCGGTGGTACGACGTGGCAATGAAGACGTCATCCTCACAATCATTCCAGAGGAGATTGACCCTTGACCTCCCTCATGCTCGACCATGAGCTGGTTCTCAGACTTTTACTGAGTGTGTGTCCGGAGCCACACTCTTGCTAGAAATCTTAGTGAACACTTTCAAACCCAACCAATCATCCAATCTGAATATTGCTCTTAGACCAGGAAATGTCCTTTCTCACTTTTTTTTCCCATATGTGAAGTCATTTTTTTGTTTGTTCTTCAATATACCATGATAGAATGAGCCTTTTGTAAATAGAGAATTTAGCGCTGGGTAGTTCAATGACAAACTGAAATGTATATAATTTCTCTGTTCCTAAACCTAGTAAACTGACAGATTTTGTAATGAGCAGGATGATTCCATTCAAGTAAATGTCGATTATAAATAATCTTGTTTTATTCATTACTTGAAAAGCATCTACTAAAAGAATTCGGTGTAATTAAAAAGAACTGTTTTACCCAATATTTGCATGTGGAATGTACTGTATTTTTAAGCTTACCCTGATGGCACACATATATCGTGGAGATGTGTTTTTGATGTGCGCATTTTCATCTGGTTTAATCTGCAATCCGTCGCTTCCTGTCAGATTTTAAAGGGATAGATCATCCAAAAAGCAGAAGCAGAAGAGAGAAATTCATACAGGTTTGGAACAACTAGAGAGTGAGTAAATGATGACAGAATTTTCATTTTTTGGATGATCTATCCCTTTAAATAGACATTTAAAAAATTGTGGAAAATTATAACGTAGGCTTACAGTATATCCAATTCAAATGGCTTCTCAAAAAGAAAAAAATGTAGGTTGGGAATCATAATCACGTGATTGACTGGTTGTCCCGCACTTAAACCGTAAAACACATCAGAGAAGAGAAGAGGTGTCCAAACTGATGGACTGATTTAGAATGTATGAAAACAGATGTTTTCCAGATGAAGTGCTCCATTAAAGACATCCTGGAGATGTGTGTGTGTGCTATCCGGGCAGAGTATTAATGCTGTTAGCTTAGCAATATGCTAACAGCTAACTACTGAAATCAGTTGTCTCCCATGAGGCGCACTTATTTGTATTGCGTGCAGTACAGCTGCCTATTGTGTGTTACAAATCGGTCACATATAAGGTTACATGGCAGTTACTGCCTTAGTAAGCAGCTGCCTATAAGTAATGCCTTTATAGAAGCTCACTAGGTTTTGGAACAGACTGTATTTCGTACTTATGTATACATCAGCAAGGCATCATGAAATGTTGTTGTCTGTATTCAGTCATTTCTTAATTTTTTTTTCATATTTACACTAAAATCTCAGACTTTACACTATTTGAAAAAGAATTGTGGGCATACCTTCTCTTCTTTAAATGTCTGTTTGTCTGCATTTTCAGAAACAAAATTAAAGAAGGTTAACTTTTTTTAAATTGTTTTAGCATCGCAGTGTCACTTCACAACCATCATCTACTGATGCATTTTTAAGGTTGATGTGGAGAGATGCTACTAGATTGAACTGGCCCCTTAAGAAATAATCTAGCTGGGAATATGGAAGCAGTGAGTGCCCAAATTCGATATATAGAGATTTTAATAGAGGTCCGGATCTGGTTCTCTGGAGGTCATATCCACTCTTCTTTACCAATTTGTCATTCATGTACCAAAATAAATTTCAGAACATGTTATATTCTGTCATGATTACGTCATGCTTGATTACAAAGCTTATTAAGATAACATCTTTCCTTTAAAGCTAATGATCATGAATGAATGGGCCATTCTTCATAGTCTGCCTCTCCTGAAAAAAGTGTGGGCAGTGAGGGACTCCTAAAACTCTGTGAATTTTATTATTATTACCCTTTAAGAACTTTTAATCAAAATCACACCAAATCGCTGAGCTCATCGCCTACATATGGGTCCCATCTATCACAAATAACATCAGAACTCACTTAGCATGATTTTGCCCAGCAAGTCATCTTTCTGGATCAATTAATCAACCAGGTTTTGTGTTTATGTTTTAGGGGTGGAAATGGGAGCTTATTCAACACTGTTTTGATGGAGTTATGGTATTGGGTTTGGCCTTATAAACTTCAGAGGGAGCTGAGTAAGTCTTTGGAATATAAATAAATAAAAATGTCATGATATCTAGATCTGGCCAATTTTCACACACTTTTTATCCAATTTCTGGAACTTGTGTAACCTAACCCAGGGTTCTAACTTGTAACATACAGAAAAACAGTATAATAGTAACATACAGTAGTAACTTATTTGGCCTATGATTGTTTGATTCATCCAAAAAAGAAATAAACAAATGTATTTACAGAATTACATATTTTTATATTTAAAAAATATATATTCCAAAAAAAAAAATGTAAAAAATGTATTGGTTATTTAAATATGTATTTAAATGTTTCATATTTTAAAATATAATTTATTTCTGTGACAAAGCTGAATTTTCATCAGCCATTATTCTAGTCTTCAGTGTCACAGGATCCTTCAGAAATCATTCTAAAATGCTGATTTATTGATGTTGGAAACATCAATATGTACTGCTTAATTATTATTATTTTAATAACCTTATAATAACCTACTTTTTTAAATAGCATTTGTGATACTTTTCCAGGATTATTTGATGAATAAAAATAATAAAAAAGAAAGAACAGCATTTATTTAAAATATAAATCTTTTGTAAAAATATTTTTTTTTAAATCTTTCTTTTTTTTATTCAGCAAGGATGTGTTAAATTTCTTAAGGAGGATCATGTGACACTGAAGACTGTAATAGCTGATGAAAATTAAATTTGCATCACATAAATACATTATAGTTAATAGCTATTTTGTGTGTGTTTTTATTGTTCCATGACCTATGAAAGATGTAGATCCAAATACGTTCCACTCAACCATGCTTTGCCTTAAAAATCTTTGAGTTTTGCGTGTTAAAAAACATAGTGAATGTAAAACAACAACAAAAACAATTCATTAATATGATACATGGGATCAGTTGTTATGCTGCCCTCAGTAGTTTTGAATTACTGGAGGCACAATGTGATCTGTCCAGATGCAGGAATACAGGCAGGAATTATGTAAAATATACAAAAGTGTTACTCAATGTCATGATAATCAGCAAATTATAACACTGTACTCAATATGTCATTTGGCACACAAGTTACACAAGCATTGTCTAATTCGCAGCATATGTGGTCAAATAAAGGACGTTTTTCCTAATTGCACCTTGTAGGATGACTTCAGGCTCTGGACTCGAGTAGCAGGGCGGGTCTGCATTCATTTCCTCTTTATCGTAGTTGTAGTTGATCTTGGTAGGACACTGACTGCTGGGGTCAATCTCATGGCAGAGAAATGAAATGTCCAAAATGTCCAACTCCAAGTCATATTTTACTGGCATTCTGAAATGTAATTTGCAGTGCATTTTTATGGGGACTAACACTGCCAAATGTGTGAGTGTTACATAATTCAAAAAAATATGTATTACATCAAACTTTTAAAGACATGGAATGTCTGATTCATATTGTATTTCAAAGAAAGTTAAACACATTTTCTCTCTCAATTCTGTAATGTAAATATAAACCACAAACAAATGAACAATCACACAAAAACCTAATCAAACAATAAAAATCATTCTGTCCAAACAATCACACACAGAAACACATTTTTTCACGTGTTCAACATCAAGATTAGTTTGTGGCGATAGACCTGAAGGACGCATACTTTCATGTTTCAATCCTTCCTCGGCACAGGCCGTTTCTGCGATTTGCCTTCAAAGGACGAGTATTTCCTTTTGGGTTGTCATTGTCTCCTCCCAGAGGCTGCCTTGGCCCCATTAACCCTCCTCTTATCCTTGGGGTCAATTTGACCCCATTCAATGTTTAACGTCTGTAAAAACATTTTTTTTTTTTGCTTCAAATTGAATGACTTTTCCTAATTTAATGGGTACAAACCTGTACAAATTTTGTAGCATCGGTGTTCCTTGGGGTCAATTTGACCCCAGGCTCTTTTAGTTGTATAATAAAACAGAAGAAATAATACAATTTCACACACATTTGTTTTGGTTGTTATATTGAGGTCATTATAACATGTTATAATTTGAATTTATAATGTTCATTGTAATTTTACATATTCAATATCATTTTCAAAAAACGTCCCTCTGTTTTAGGGCTCTAACCAAACATAACCATATCTGTAATATTGCGAGAACTACTAGTAGTTCACATGACATGTGACATAATTCTCAAGATAACTAATAATTCTTTCCTGTGTATTGGGGAGGGGAAAACATCATTTTTGTGAGAAATTTGATGTTTCCCATGCCATGGGGGAGGAGAAAACAAAATTTTTGTGAGATTGACCCCAAACATAACTCGTGTTACTATCCTTGATAAAATAAATAGTTTTTCTTTCCAAATGTCATAGATTGCATAAATCTATACTTAGAAACATTATAAAACAAATAAAACCCCAGATGTATTTATACTTTTCCAATTTTAGGTCAAATCAGTAAGATTTTATGTTGATTTGTAAATTTGTCCATAGTCGTGCAATGGGTATTCTGGATGTATAAGGGGTTAGGTGGGGTTAGGTGGGGTGGGGAGGGGGGTGGTGGGTGGATGTCAACTTAAAACGTTACTTAAGTAATCAACAAAGACATACATTAACTGAGACAAACCTTTGTAAAAAAAATAAACATATTGTGGAGGTTTAAATTACTGGGGTCAAATTGACCCCAGAGGGTAAATCAGATTCACAAATCACAAAGTGTTATCAGATTTGAGAATAACAGGAGGGTTAAGGGAAGTGGACATTCGCATACTCAACTATCTCAGCAACTATTTAAGCAGAAAACAGCGGTACCACTGAAATATTTTCATGCTTGGCTACGGTCGCGCCACTGGTGTTGATGAATATAAGACCACTTCAGTATTGGCTTCAGGTTCAAGTCTGGAGATGGGCATGGCTCCACGGCACACATCACGTGGCCATCAAGCCGATCTGTCGTCACACTTTCAACCTTTAGTCGGACCTTGCATTTCTATGGAAAGGACAAGTGTCCAGAAGTGTCGTTGTTACAGCAGCCCTGGGACCCTGGACAGTCCTGAGAAGGTTTCGACCGTGGATTCAGGGCGAGCACATGTTGGTCTGGGCGGAAAACACTGTGACAGTGGAGGAGGGACCTTCTTTCTCAGGGGCAGGGCACAATCTGGCACCTGCACCCAGGCTTCTGGAACCTCCACGTCTGGTCCCTGGACGGGACGAGGAGAAACTTGATATAGTTGAAAATAGTTCAATACTTGACCTTGAAATATACATGATCACTCAGAGGCAAGAGCTCCCTCTACTAGGCAGCTGTATGACTTGAAGTGGAGCCTCTTCACTACATGGTGTTCTTCCCGAGGTGAAGACCCATGGAGATGTGGCATCGGGTCTGTGCTTTACTTTCTCCTGCATGGCCTTGAGAGGCACCTATCCACCTCCACCCTGAAAGTGTATGTGGCCACAATAGACCTTATTCAGAGCAGTGCCATGACAGGTATGAAAGCGAGGGATAGAATTACCGTGTTTCCAATGGCATCCGCTGTAAAAAGCTGAATAAAGCGGCTTTTTCCACAGCTTACATTGTCGGGAGTTTTTTGTCAACTTTTCCAGTGTTTCATGAGCAGAACAATCCGAAAACACATTAAATAACAGTACAGCCCATTGAAGAGATGCAAGTCTATCCCTCACAGCCTCGCTTTCATTCTCATTAAAAATCAAAGATGGCGCGCTGCCGTGAATAAGGCGTATAGCAGGAAACCACAACCCTGTTTGTGGCATGTCTTTGGGGAAGCACAACCTGATCATCAGGTTCCTGAGAGGATCCTACAAGATCTTGCCTCATCCGCTCTTGGGATCTTCTTTGGTCTTTCTATGAAGACGGCCCTCCTGAATGCACTCACCTCTGTCAAGAGGGTGGGGGACCTACAGAGATATATCCAGCTGCAGACCCGCAGCACCACCAGTTTCAGAACCCCAGCGCCAGAACCGGAAGTGAGGGAGGGGCGCAATTATTATTATTGCATTATAATTTTTTTAGCAAGAATGTAAGGACAAAACGGGCCTGAGAGTAAGTTCCTCATACATTGTAAGTTAAATTTATACAAGATTGTTGTGATAAAACAGGCCTAGCTTGGGTTGAATTGGTCATTTTGTATAGATTTTTAACAAAACAATGCCGAATTTTCTCTCGTTTTTAGATTTTGACATTATTATTTTACACGAAAAATGCATGCTGCACATGTTCTTGTGAAATAAAGTATATTTTATAAAAAATACCCATGCGTTTTTTTATTATTAAACAATCAAAATCATCTAACAAATAAATATCTTCTATATCAAAACAATTTAAGGTTTTTGTAAACACAATAAATAAATAAATAAATAAATAGAACATAAAATATCACAGAGGTCTATATGAGTTATCAAATTGTGTATAATTTTGAAAACCTCCAATGCTTGTCTTGTTTTATATCTTTCAAAGCTTTATTATACAAAGTTAACTCCTTCATAAAAAACAAAAAAACAAAGGTCTTACCTTCCTAAATCTACACGAATGTATAAACTGCCTAGCTAAAATTATTAAACTGTTATACATTAAAATGCCCATAAGTTTCAAGTATTATTTTTTCACCATCATGATCAGGAAGTA